AAATTTATTAGTATCTAAATATCTCTTCAATATATCAACAAATTCTAATCCTTTCTTTTTTGAAATTTAATTTAAATTATGATCGTATTCGAAAATTTTAATATTTTCTTCTTTAAATCAAAATGGTAATTATCCATTTATTTCTCATTGTTAATCAAAAGCTGAAGATTAAATGAAATTAAATTAAAATATACTTCATCCACAAAATAAACAAAATGGAAAAATCTTACTTAAATTTAATTTGAATCTTATGTAATAAAAACTCTTTTAAATTAAGTCATTTATTTGAAATTATGACTCTATCTTATTAAATTTTTAATTTAAATTCACAATTAATCCTATTAGATTATCTTTTTCAATTTCAACATTATATAAATCTTTTTCAAAGTTAAAATGATTACGTAATTTTTCTCTTAAAAAAGAATGCTGCAATTACTCAATCTTCTATAGAACAAAAAATGAGCAAAATTAATGAGTATAAATTTAGAGCAAAATCCCCTGCTAAGTAGGGAAGGCCCACTAGTAATATATAAACCGGATTCATATTTATTTACCCATAAATAAATAACATCACAACTCACAAGTAATATAAAATCTTAAATTTAATAAATGTTTCATCTTGATTACAAATCCAATTTTCCATTTCAAAAATATCAAAACCAAAATGTGATATGTTATTTCGAGCGAATGTGATATGTTATTTCGAGTGAAAAGAATTCGATTCTCTTTAAATAAAGTTTTAAATTCGAATCTTATAAATAAAAAAATAAACGATAAGAAAAGTTTTCTTAATGAGATATGACGTAATTCAATTTTAAATTAATTAAAATTTAATGTGATTATCAAATAAAAAAGAATTAATGAAAAAAACAAACAAAATGTGCGCAGAGACTCGAACTTCGTAATAACTTGACATTTATGCCCATAACACCCCACCCTCCGCCGCGAGGAAAAAGGAAAGAAAGTATTCTTTTAGTTTATTTTAGTAGCTTTAACTTAATTTTTTAATATTTTAAATATAAAATTTAAATAAAAATTTAATAAATTATACAAATAATAATTAAAATTTTTTATTAAATAAAAATATTTTAAAAAAAATTTATATAAACATTTTTAATTATTATTTATATGATAAAATTAAAATTTTATTTAAATTTTATATTTAAAAATTAAAAAATTAAATTAAAACTACTAAAAGAAGGAGTATATATATGGTATAATTATTTTCTAAAAATGATGATTGTACTACCATTGCCGTCGACTAGCTTTAAATAAAGTCAATCGAACTCTAATTTTAATAAAAAAAATTAAGATTGCATCTTTATTAATAACATTAATTAACATACCCTGTTGATTAAATAATTGGAAAGAGTCAACCATGCACGGCATTTCAAGCCATTTTTTCTCTAACAAGTTACACTGCATGCTACCGACGAGAGGTTGGATCAAGTGTTAAGTTGGTTGTTTCAGTTTAGATGAGATTTTGAATTTGAGACTTTGTGTATGTAATAATTTTTGTTAGAAGACTTACTCACTATTTTTAGGTGTGCGATGTAAATCAGTTTAAATTAGTCAAGGAAGCCCGGATACTGGATGAGAAACCGAAAAAAAATTACCCTGCACGGTTTTCGGTTTGAC